TCACCGCCCCTGAGCCTCTGGCCTGTACCCCAGTTCTGTATGCACAAATAAATAAATAAATCTTTAAAAAAAAAAAATTTTAAATTAGTGATGTATTTTGAGAACTTAACTTTCATATTGTCCTTTAGGAATGAATGCTAAAAATTTAATCACAATTATGACATTTCCTAATACAAATTTTTACTAAAAATACTTTTAGTAAAATAATTACAAGGCAGCAGGCCACAAAACAAGGAGTAAGCTTATTAAAGAAATAGTAGAGTTAAAAGAAAAAATTAAAATCACTATAGGATTAAAAGAAACAAAGGTGAAGGAGACAGAAATAATGTAGTGGACAAGTTTCAGACACCTAAGCTATTCTGGAAAATTGATTTTTACTGATTGAACTCCCAAAGTCTTGACCTAAGTATTGGGGAAAACAGGCTTTAAGAACTTGAACTCATTTGTCCCAGCGTCCCCCGAAAGACACACCTCATACTGGTAGCTGTGGGACAGCGTCCCGGCGCCGCTGACGTCCACCAGGTGGCCAGGGAAGTGGCCCTCGGGCCCCGGCGAGCCTCCCCGCGCCGCCGCCCCGCTCCTCGCGCACACACGCGCCGCCACGAAGGCCAGCGCAGACAGGAGGAAGAGCGACGACACGGCGGCCAGCGCCACCACCAGGTAGACGGTGAGCCGGTCGGCCTGCGCGTCGGGCGCCGCCGCGTCGGGCAGCGGCAGGTAGGGCTGCGAGAAGCCGTCCACCAGCAGCACGTGCAGCGTGACGCTGGCCGACAGCGGCGGCTCGCCATTGTCGCGGACCAGCACGACCAGCCGGTGCCTGGGCGCGTCGCGCTCGCCCAGCGGCCGGGCGGTGCGCACCTCGCCGTTGTGCGCCCACACGCCGAACAGCCCGGGCTCCGTGGCCCTGAGCAGCTGGAACGACAGCCAGGCGTTCTGGCCCGAGTCGCCGTCCACCGCCACCACCTTGGTGACCAGGTAGCCCGCGTCGGCCGCGCGGGGCACCAGCTCGGTGCAGGGCGCCGACGCGTTCTGCAGCGGGTACAGCACGAAGGGCGCGTTGTCGTTGTCGTCCAGCACCACGACGCGCACCCGCGCCTGGCCGCTCAGCGCGGGCGCGCCTCGGTCGGTGGCGCCCACCAGGAACTCGAAGGCCCGCAGCGCCTCGAAGTCGAGTGAGCGCAGCGCGAACAGCTGGCCGTTGTCGGCGTTGATGGACACGAGCGCGGCGGGCGCGGGCAGCGCGCGGCCGGCGGGGCCCGGGGCGGGCAGCAGCGAGTAGGTGAGCTGGGCGTTGGTGCCCGCGTCGGCGTCGGTGGCGCTGACGCTGCCGATGTGCAGGGCGGGGCTGTTGTTCTCGCGCACCAGCAGCGTGTAGGCGTTTTGGCTGAAGGCGGGGGCGTTGTCGTTGACGTCGGACACCAGCACTGTGATGTTGTGCTGGGTCTGCAGCCTGGGGGTGCCCATGTCCGAGGCGGTGATCGTGATGTTGTACTGGGACTGGCTTTCTCTGTCTAGCGCCCCATTTGTTACTAGGGTGTAGAAATTCTCTTGAGATGGTTTCAAAAAGAAAGGGAGATGATCCTCTATGAAGCAAATCATCCTCCCGTTGTCCCCTGAGTCGCGGTCCCGAATCCTAAACAAGGCCACTTCGGTCTCAGGGGAGTTTTCAGGAATAGGACTGGTAAGTGATGAAACAGTTATTTCTGGAAAGTTGTCATTAATATCTATTACCTCAATGGAGACAGAACATTTTCCAGAAAGTCCCCCACCATCCGATGCCTCTATATCCAGTTCATAAGAGGTCATTGTCTCAAAATCTAGTTGTTTAATAAGTCGAACTTCTCCTGAAAGACTGTTTAGCTCAAAAGTTGTGCTTAACTCCTGTGAACTATAAAAAAGGGAGTAGGATATCTCTCCATTTGTCCCAATGTCTAAATCACTAGCAGAGACCTTGACAACCAGCGCCCCCACAGGGCTGTTCTCTGGGACTCGCACCTGGTAGAGCACTTGTGCAAACTCAGGAGCATTGTCATTGACATCCAAGATCGAGATGTGGACCTGCGCCGTACCAGATCTAGGTGGAGAGCCGCCATCCAGAGCTGTGAGGGTTAATCTGAATTCTGCCTGCTCCTCTCGATCCAGTTCTTTGTCCAGGACTAGCTCTGGGTATTTTCTGCCATCCCCCCGATTGCGGGTAAAAATATGGAAATGAGAATTGGGACTGATATTGTAATTTTGAATGTTGTTATTGCCCACGTCCAAGTCTTGGGCTTTTTTCAAAGAAAACACAGTGCCAGGAGGGCTGTTCTCCAAGATTCTCAGTGTCATGTCTCTTTCAGGAAACTCAGGAGAATGATCGTTTATGTCTCTTACAAGTAGTTCAGCTCGAAATACCCCCATTGGTTTTTTTAGTAACACTTGGAAATGCATTATGCAAGGATCGGTGGGGCCACACAGTTCCTCCCTGTCCAGTTCCTCATTTAATATCAACTCACCAGTCTGCAGATCAAGCAGCAAGGCGAGTTGGTTTTCCTCAGAGACCACCCGGGCTTCCCGTGCAGCTAGCTCCTCCACTTCTAGCCCCAGATCTTTGGCCAGGTTGGCCACAAAGAAGCTGCTCTCTGTTTCTTCCATCACGGAATAGCGACGGGATTCCCAACCTGCCAGAGCCTCTCCCAGCAAGAAATAAAGAATCAAGACTTGCCTTTGTTTAGGAAAGCTCTCCCCCTTGGTATCCATCTTTACTTCCGCAAGCAACTTTCCAGGAACAGTGGCTACTTGTACCTTAGTGATGAATCTCTCAGTCGGTAACCTCTTCGCAAATGTCGATGGACAACATTTGCAAGAGGTTTACTGGTCTTGAGCTCAGCTCACAGATTTTCTTAGGCTAGAGGGCTGAGAGCTCCTCAGAAAGGATTTGTTTGGTTTGTTTTTGACGCCTTAGCCTGCAGCGCCACCATGCGATGTTTTAGAGAATCACTGTAATTGTATTCTCTATAATAATATCAGTTATTAGGAGTTTGGAATTGGTTTGGGGAGATAATGTATTCAGAAAACCATACAACTAAGATTTCTCCTCCCCTCATTCAAAGATATCTGTTACTAAGTTCTGATAGTAACAGTTAACAACTTAGACATGATCCCTATTCCTGCCTTCTAAATGTTGTGTCTGAGTGGGTCCTCTGAGAATTGAGAAGTGAAAGAATAATTAATAATAATCAGTAATCTTATAAAAATAATGCATAACTGTTATTTCTTAAAAGTTTCTCAGTGGAGAAGAATGAATTCCTCTAGATTGCCTTTCAAATTCTAGGCAGTCTACAGTTTAGGATTCCATTTCTATGGAAGATTACAGAGAGTTATATTTTATGAAATTGGAAAATGTATAAGAGGGAATTTCCTATGTCTTTTACCCTGCTTATTCTCCTTAGCACTGATCACAAATTTAGCATACAGGAACATATGTAATAGTTTCATGTATGTGTTATTCTGGAGTTCCAGAACTTTATTTTGTTTTACATCACTCAACTTCTAGAACTTCTAATCCTTGGAACACATTAGAAGCTCAACAAATATTTGTTAGCTAGATCAATTAATAAATCAAAATTGTAAGTTATGACAGATTCTCCTCTTAGTATAGGAGCTCCCATTTTTTAATTTTATTTATTACAAAGTTTATTTTTACATCATTTTGCACATTTTTTTCCCATCTCGATTGTAATCCCCGCAGGTTTCCCATCACCAAATC